GTAGCTTTTTTGGTTCCTGTCCTGGAACTAGCTCTTGTAGACCAGGCTGGCCTCGAACTCACAGAGATCCGCCTGCCTCTGCCTCCTGAGTGCTGTGATTAAAGGCGTGTGACACCACCGCCCGATAATTCACTGATATTAAATATACAAATGGTATTATATAAGTATCATTAGTGCTGCTGTTTTGTTTTTTAGTCTCTCACTTTGTAGCCCTCAAATTTGCTTCTGCCTCTTCCTTGCCTCCCAAGTGATGGGACTGTAGGTGTGGGCCAGCACACCCAGCTACCATAAAGCTAATAACTAAAATTCTACTGGTACAAATGTGTCCATAACCAAACAAATCTCCCTATCAAAATAAAATCTTGCTGGTTTAGCCTCCCTGATTTCAAGACTTTTCCCTCAAGTAGGATCTCCTTCCTCTGCCTGCTGTGCCTCCCCAAAACATTCCTCACTTCTCCACCATCCAGCCAAGACCTAACACAGTAGTTCACAATCTTCCTAATGCTGCCACCCTTAATACATACCGTTCTTCAAATTGTGGTGACCCCAACCATAGATTATTTCATTGCTAATTCATAAGTGTAATTCTGCTACTGTTATGAATCATAATGTAAATATATTTGATATGTGACCTAAGGGGTCATGACCCACAGGTTAAGAACCACTGGTCTAACAGTTAAGATCTCAAAATATACATATTGAGCCCCAGAGAATACATTTCTACCTCCCCAGTGCTGGAATTATAATCACTATGCTCAGCCTCCCCACCCCCCACCCCTGAACTCAACTTGTCAGTTAAGTATTTTATTGACTGAATTTTTGCTGAGTGAGCTATTTCCCTAGTCCTAAAACCTGTGGATCTAATCTAGAGCAAATTATTTGGTATTTTTCAATTTGTAAAAGGTAAAAAAATGTTTCAACAAAAGTCATACCATCGGAAGTTCTGCTCATCATGGGTGAGCCTCTGGATATGGTGCTTTGGTAACTCACAGGGGTCCTGCGAGCACTGGTGTCATCATAGATTCCCGGGCTCAGCTGTGCTTTGGGAGCTTCATGAAGTGTAGACCTGAGAACGGAGGGGCCAGAGCTCACCACTGACGTGTGCCGGGGACGCACAGGCTCACCGGCTTTCACATCCTCATATTTTCCCCGTTCTACTACTTTTATGTTCTCTGGTACAATTTCCAGCATTCCACGGGGTAGTTTGCTAGGCCCTGTGATTAAGGACTTCACATTATGTTTGATAGCTGATTGACCTGAGTTGTTGTCATATTTTATTGGCGTGCCCTAAGGGGAATGAAACAAACATTACAGATAGCAGAATTACCTAGATACTGTTCCCTCTCAGGTGTATGTCTGGCTCATGGCAATTATACACACTCCTGAATTATTCACTTTAAACTATGTATACAAGAAAAACTGGTAATATGTATATGAAAGATTTACTACCAAGAAGTTTGGCATAAGAACTACCTAGAACTACTAAATCAAATTTTTTAAAGTGCTTCATAGGTGTCAGTCTTAAGTAGAATTGCTGATAGAAAGAGCTATGAAGTATTTACCTGGGAAATGGAACCCTCAATTATTGGCCTTGTGCTCTGGACCACTTCTGGAGTTTTTCGGCTTTCCTGAGTTAGAATATCTTGTCGTGGAATCTCATGAATAGAACGCCCCATTTCTTTGATGGTAGTGATACCATCATATGGTTTTCCTTTGGTAATGGCGCCTTCAAATGCTCGGATAGGAGGGCTTTCCCTTTTAATCTGTTTGGGATATTTAAGGCCGTCTTCAAAGCTATCGGTTGTTGCTCTTGGTGTGCCTTTAGGAAGAGTTCGGGAAACATACTTGTTAAAATAATGTTGATGGCTGCACAGCCCTGCCACTGAACTTCTGCCATAGACCCTCAAGTAGACATTCATCAGTCATTATGTTTTAAGGATTACCCAAAATATATTCAGAATGGTTCTTATAAAGATGTGTTGATATTAAAAGATCTAACAACTAAAACATTCTGTTAAATGATGTAGCTAAGAAAAAAGTTAAGATCAGGGTTTAACATTTAATACTTCAAAGGGTAAAATATCTTGAAAAGTAGGTTTAATATTCTGTAAAATTAATATTAAACTACCTAGCCAGTGAATCGGTGTATAATAAAAAGGCAAAACACAATGTACCCTGCATTATGGAACCAGAGAGGACAGTCCTTTCTTTGAGGTCAGAATGAGGGCTCCCTCTGGGCAATGCTCGGCATATCAGACCTTGCAAAACAGTAGAGAAATCCAGTAATTAGACATAATATAGTTAATTCATAATACTGAATATTGTCTATAGAGAATATAATTTTGATAAAAACCTCTGTGATAGAAGGGATGTCATTTCAAAGTCGTACACAATTTAGAAACTATCACAAAGAACTGGTGAGATGCCCAGCAGTCAAGGCTGATGACCTAAATTCAATACCCAAGCTCCTTCTGATCTCCACATATGCACACCATATACAGGCTTGTGCCCTCTTCAACAGCAGTCAGTGCCCTTAGCTTCTAAGCCATCTCTATTGCCCCATAATATCATAATTCACATAGAACATTTTCCCAAATACAAAGTGATCAAGAAGCACAATAAAGTTTACTTTAAAACAAAAAGAAATTTCAGCTGGATTTGGTAGTTCATGCCTATGATTCTAGCACTTGTGGAGTGAAGTCAAGAAAATAATTCAAGGAGTTTGAAGCCAGCCAAGGCCTGTCCACACCCTACCTGTGTCCCAAAGCTAAATCTAAAATATTTCAATTAAAAAAAAATCAGAAGATGTAGGCTGGATGTGGTACTATACACTCTTTATCCCATCCCAACCCTAGGAAGACAGATACAGAAGGATCTCTGTGAGTTTGAGGTCAGTCTGGTCCAGACAGCATATTCCAAGACAGCCAGGACTACTCAGAGAGACCCTGCCTCAAACAACAACAAAACAAACAAATGATTTAAATTTACATGATGAAAACTAATAAAAAAATGAAAAACATCAAAATAAAAATAAAATTTGGCTGAGCATGGTGGAGTATACCTTTAATCCCTGCACCCAGAAGGCAAAGACAGGTTATGATGTCTGAATATAAGGCCAGCACGGGCAACACAGTTAGTTCAAGACCAGCCAGGGATAGAGGGAGAACCTGCCTTTTTTGTTATTGTTTTATCCCATCACCTCTTCCCCCTTTTTCGTTTCTATGTGAGAAGCCACAGCAGAAAGTGAAACCCCACGAAGTCCCCTTTTTAAGGTAATTAACAAACCCAGAATATCTGGGCATTTTCAGAAACCTTGCTAGTCAGAGGAGAACTATAACAAGAAGTGAATTTGAACAGCATAATCAAAACTTTAAAATAAGATTTATAAATGTTAATGTTAACTAATAATTACATTTTAGTTTTTAAATATAGCATAGATAACATTTACTGAGATTTAATTATAGGGTAATTTTTTATTTAAAAATAATTTTCCCCTTCTTATAGGCCCTTTTTCTTATGTGCTAGTATCTATTTCCTTCACTCCTACACAAATACACACATATAAAAAATTTAGCCCGGCATGGTAGCTTACGCCTTTAATCCCAGCACTCAGGAGGAAGAGGCAGGTAGATCTCTATGAGTTTGAGGCCAGCCTGGTCTACAGAGTGAGTTAGGACAGCCAAAAATACACAGAAAAACCCTGTCTCAAAAAAAAAAAAAAAAAAAAAAAAAAAAAATAGAAGAAATGTGATGTTTTGAAGTTCCATATGTCTTCCTAAAAATTACATAATTTCCATTTTTTCTGTGACCAAATAGAATTTCATTGTGTATATGGATCACATTCACCTATGACAGACATCTGGGCTAATTCCATTTCTTTGCTATTGTGAAAAGAGCAACAATACATGGATGAGGAAGCATCTCTGTAACAGGCTAGAAAGTCCTCTGGGTGAATGCTCAAACAGACATGTGGATCGCTGGAAACAGGCCGAAACAAGAATCCATACAGCTCTAGTTACCTGGTTTCTGACTAAGGTGACAAAAATACTCATTAAAGAAAAGATAGTCCCTTAAACAAATGACGCCAGGAAGCTGGATAACCATCTGAATGACCTCTAACCTGGCACAAACATCAACTCTAAATGGATCAACAACCAAAACATAAGACCTGAAACTGAAAATGCTAGAAGAAAAAGAGAGGAAAATAATTCAAGAGACAGGCACAGGTAAGGACTTTCTAAATAAGACTTGGGTTACTAAGGAAAAAAGACAATTATTGACAAACAAGACCTGACAGAAAAGGATCATTACAAGTGAAGAGGTAGCCCACAGAATGCGAGAAAACCTTTGCCAACTATCCAAGAAAAGTACCATGTAGAACATATGAAAACTCTGAACTACATAATCAAAAAGTAGGCTGAGAGCTTACAGAGTGGTCTCAAAGGAGAAATATGGACAACAGTGTGTGTGTGTGTATTTGTTTGTTTGTTTGAGACAGGGTTTCTCTATGTAGCCCTAGCTCTCGAGGAATTCACTCTGTAGACCAGGTTGCCCTGCAACAGTGGCTTCTGTAATGTCTGCTCTAGTTCATACCCTACCATCAATGGTGGTGCCCTCCTTTAATCCCAGCAGGTCTTTCTCAGTGAGTTCAAGGCCAGGATAGTCAGGACTGTTACAGAAAGAAACTCTGTCTCAATAATCCCCCCCTCCCATTCTTTCCTCCCTCCCCAATACATTCTTTCCAGCATTGTAATTGTTTATGGAATTCATTCTGGCAGAGGTGAGATAGATCTCAAAATAGTTTTAATTCCTATTTCCCTGATGGCTTAATGATGTTGTACACTTAAAATATGTATTGGCCACTGTTCCAGTTTCTCAATCAGCAACAGGTAAAACATTCACAACCCCATTCTCCTACTCCTGGGAATCTAAACTCTGAATGCATCTTAGTTGAAAAATCACTGGTCAACTTTGAAATATACCTGGGAAAAAAAGAAAATAAGAAATATGGACACTATAAAGTTAGAGAAAATAAATGAAATATACATACCCAAATAAGGAGTTTTAAAATAATATCCAAAGAAATTTCACACTGAGAATGGGAAAATGGCTCAGTGGGTAGAGTGCCTTCTGTATGAGCATGACAACCTAAATTCAGAACCCTTGCATGACATGGAATGGGTCTGTAAATCTAAGGTTGGATGGGCAGAGTCACACAGAAACCCAGGACTCAGTGGCTAACCCATCTGGCTGAAAAGCCTACCTTTGGGTTCACTGTGTAGCTTTGGAGCCTGTCCTGGAACTAGCTCTTGTAGACCACACTGTTCTCAAACTCACAGAGACCCACCTGCCTCTGCTTCCTGAGTGCTAGAATTAAAGGCGTGCGCCACCACTGCCCGGCAAGCAAGCAGTACATAATCTTAACCCCCGAGCCATCTCTATAGCCACAGATGATGTTTTGTTTCATTTGTTGTTGTTGTTGTTTTTAAATAGAGAAAATATATTAGCTGGGTGGTGGTGGCGCACGCCTTTAATTCTAGGGAGGCAGAGGCAGGAGGATCTCTGTGAGTTCGAGGCCAGCCTTGTCTACATTAGCTAGTTCCAGGACAGGCTCCAAAGCTACAGAGAATCCCTGTCTCGAAAAACCAAAAAACAAAATATAATTGGTGAATTTAGGGCATGCTTAATCTTGATTAAATTATCTGAGGTAGGCTGTGGTGATTTGAATAGGTATGGCCCCCAGAGTCAGGCCCCCAATTAAATGTTTTCATTTATAAGAACTGCTGTGGTCTTGGTGTCTCTTCATAAGTTAAGAAACCATAACTAAGACACAGTGTAAGATTTAAAAGTAAACCAAACCAGTGATTCAAAATTGAATGCATAACACAAATAGCACCAAGTTGGACAGTGGTTTATAGTCTGTTTACAATGATGGATATATGTACAGTTCTCTAAATTCCAGTTGAAGAGACAAGCACAGAAAAATACTCCAGGAAAAGTTCAGCTAAAGGTAAAACCTATGTCCCTGCTCTATATTATATATCACTTTATCTCATGTACTAAAAAGAAATTCTCAAAACACGTTTTATATTCTGCCTCTACTCCCACAGGTTTTATATTCTTTTTTTTTTTTTTTTTTT